TAAAACAGCCCCTGCTTTTTCCTCTTTAGTTTGGATTATAAAGCAAACTTTCATCTTCTGCCTTGTCATTCCTTTAATCTTCATCAAAGCAGCAAATGCTACATATTCTGTTGCCACTTTGTTGGGTTGTTTCTTTTTTAATAAACAAAAAAACCCTACCCTTCTTACCAATTCACAGCATGACTCCAGGAGCTGTGGAAAGGTAGAGCATGGGTTCTGATAAGATGTGTGACTGTCTTGAAAAGGGTTTCAATGCCTGTCTTAAATGTCTTTTCACAGCTCTAACTTGGGGACTGTCAATTCCATGTATTGACTTGGAGATTCTTGATTTAACTGCAGCATGGCCCTTGAGGCTGGAGGTGGTCTGGTTGTTTCCAAAGTTTGTAACAAGCATCTCTAGATTGCAGAGACTATGCCATCTAACGGTCTGAGTTCCAATCCAGCAAAGCTCAGGGTGGTTTCTGAAACCCTTGGAGATGAACAGATTTTGCACATGATTTACTCTCTCTTTCCAGTGCCAGTCATGGGAGAGGGCTTATATGTGAACAAGAGGCAGGCCCACTATTGATAGCTGCTTGCTGGTGGGAGCTGTCATTTCCATATAACAGGAGGGCAAGCAAAAGTTTAGGACAGCGTATTCCAGAATCTGCCTCCTAGTCTGGAGCAGAGCTGGAGACAGTGCCAGGACTGTTCCTCCCAGGTGTGAAGATACCACTGGATCATAGCATGATTCAGGTTTAGGGGACTGATGCAACTCAAAGCCAACTTTCAAATTAGATTAAGTTGCTTGGAGCCTCGCCCATTGCAAAGACAACTTAAGGCTTTGGTGATATGTTCATGCCAAGACAAAGCCCCTCAATGGGGAATCCATGGGTGACAGCAAATTCTCCGCTCCTACAACAGATCTGTGACCGTAAGGCCAGCCAAGGATCCTCGCGTTGTGCCAAGTTGAGCTGTTGACTCTCCAGCTGCTCTGATGCCCCAGAGGGCTGTTTGCCATGGGGGAGAGGAGCAGCTGGCTGCACTATGTGAAATGTCTGTGTTTTCCCAAGATACCCATTGTCTGTCTGCAGCACCAGCCTCCACCCTACTTGCTCACTGAGCCGTGGCTGATGCGTCTTTAATTAAAGAGGAGGAACAATTTGAGATCTCATTTTCTTTTCTCAACTGTATTTCCTATTTCTGTCAGAATTTACAGGACTCTCTCCCCTTATTTTGTCTTGTAGTTTTGCTGCAGGGCCTTTAGTTTATGGAACGTCTGTTCTAAAATAAGGAAGAAATGGAAAAAAAATAGCTTGTTTTGGGCCCGGGAATTAAGATCCTGGGTCAGATGGCTGCTGTGGTCATTAACATATTTACATTTTTGCTTAAGAGCCCTGTTGAGGATCAAGGAAGTTAAGGGTGATTGTCATTGAAATGCGGGGGAAACCTTGCATGAAATTGCCGTTAGTGTCCCATTGTTTGGGAGGGTAAGGGGGGGCAAATGCCCCTCCTGATCCCTGCACCGGTTGTGTTGTGCTTGTCAGCCCAAGTAGATTGCAGAGGTGGCTACACTGAAGGAAACCTCTGTGCTGCCTTAGCTGGGAGGCTGTTTCTGGGGAGCACTCCCTGTGGGGCTGGACCTGGGGCTCAGCACAGCCATGCTGCTGCTGCCAGTCCTTGGCTCTCCTCGCCGTGAGACAAAGGTGCTCAGCTGGGTTTGAGGGACAACGGGCCCTTAACGAGACCATCATGGATAAACACATGAAGCATCTAGCAAAGGTCAGTTGCCTCTTTCATAATTGATGGACTAAAGTGTTTTGAGCATGTTGTCAGCCGTTGGTTTTGCCATGTGTGAGGAGCCATGTTCTGCAGGACCAGCTCAGCCCCTTGATTTGTGTGGCTAGCTATGGTGTCAGAAGCAGGGTTTGAGGCAGTTTGAAATGTTGGGGTGTGGTTACAGATGAGGGTTTTTTTTAATGTGCCGAAATAATTTATTTAAATATAAACAAGAGAACTCCCTTAGGGCTGGAGTTTGGAGCAAAACATTCTGCTCCAGCCTGTGGAAGCAGTGGTCTAACCCTGCTCTAGGGCAGGCCTTCCTAGTTCAGATGCCAGTTGTTCTTTCTTCACCTCTTACTCTCTCATGCTGTTCAGATCCATTGTTTTAATTAAAACCTTTTTCCAATTAGTATCATTAACTTAGTGCCAAGTAGAAAACTATGCATAGTAATGTGAAGAGAATAGGCTCCCTCGTATGTTTGCAGTACCAAAAATACTAGTGATCTTCTGCTGCTCCTTTGATTTTGGTGGGATAAGCAGCAAGATAGTGAGATGAAGAAGGAATGCTGGTGCCTGTTGGTGTGAGAAGGGAGCATCCTTGGAGGAAAGGCTCATTCATAGCCACCAGACAGGCTTCAACTGTCTGTCCATTTGGAAAGCCAGCAGCCAGTAACAGGTATGGACAGTACTGTCTTGAGTGACAGGATCCTATCTGCTCTAGTGCTAATGAGTCTAGAGTCATTAGTGTACTCTTGTGGGCTGGTTTGAAGCTCTGATGCAGTTGGATAATTTCTGGTTTTGGTTACAAAATGTTTCTTTTTGGAATGCTTTAAAAGAGAACAAAATCTGGGAAAACTGGTTTGAAATCGGAGTAGCTCTTTTGTGCTTCAGGAGCACGGATGCTTCAGCTCTGTCTCTTTTGCTCTTTGAAGGAATAGCCATGTTCCCTGTGTCTGTGGCCATTGGTCTTTCCTACAAAGTCAAACAATGAGCACAGAGCATGAGGAGTGTCCCACGCTTCAGTCATTGACCCTGGCCCTCAAAGCAGGGAGGCATTTAAGTCTTCAAGGAGCAAATGGTTTTCTCCTAGACAAGATAGGCTTTGACATCTTAAATGTCAAGATATGGTTAAATTGGTGCAGTTAAATAAGGTGTTGGTTAGGTCAAATGTTTTCAGGAAACAAGGATGAACACAGCAGTATCTATGGGATTGCAGGTGTTAGATCTGTTCACGGCATGACTCATCTCCCAGCTTCTGCAGATTCCCCTTGAGAAAGGTCACCTCAGGTTTTATGCTAATAATACTTTATTTCCTGGGGTTGGACACTGCACATCTCAGGCTGGCTTGGGAGTGCCAGCAAGAGCCAAAGAGCATCACAGCTGAGTCTGAGAGGAGAAGCAGATTTTTAAGTGGAAGAAGCGGATTTTGGGGTTGGTTTTAGAATTTGATCTGTTACTTCAAAGCATCAGAGTGGGCTGATTGGAGTAGGGGAGCTAAACTTCTCCAGAGATTAATATTAAGCCCTTGTTTAACAGTAAACAGCTGATGAAATCCACCTTTGGCTCTGAGTACAAGCTGTCAGGAAGGTACATCCAGGCCACCTCACAAGGACAGAGGATGGGGGGAGTGCTCAGCTCTGACTGTAATCCCCTGGCCCCAGCAGCTTCCTCGTGGAGCTGCTGCTTTGCCAAAACAGACCAGCCCTGCTCAGCAAGGAGCTGTGATGTCAGGTTAGACAGCTCCTCCTCAACAAAGCAGGCAGTGATAGCAGGGTCGCCAGGAGCAGCCAGAAAAGTTGTTTGGGCCAGAAGGAGATGGAGCCAGCCTCACACATAGGCACTGGGTTCTCTAAACTAGCTGCCTGTGCCTGAGGCTGGCCTGTTTTCTGGGAGCAGTGCCAGCCCTGCCATTGGCAAGCTGCATCCTCTGGCAAGCTGCATCCTCTGCCACATGCCCCTCTCACCTTCCCCTTTGGCAAGGGAGCATTTACTCTGCTGCATCTGATCAAAGGCCCTGCGCCTGTTAAGCTTTTGTTCTCCATTAGGAAAGAGACAGGGTTGTCAGGACCTTTTTGGCTCTGCCAAGGCCTTTTATGTCCCAAATGTTTCCATGAAAAGACTCTCTCCTGACCACCCTGCCCTCTGACAGCCATTGATGCCAGCCAACAAGCTTGATATCATTATCTACAAAAGGAGGCCAGTGAGAACCAGGGTCCTCACTGCCAAGTTTGGGAAATCAAAGGCAAATCTCCCAGCAACAGAGAGCTGGCAGAGATCAGACTGCACCACAGCAAGTGCAGGCTGGTCTGGCAGCTTGTGTCCACTGGTTTTCAAAGCACAAAAGAAACGTGCTCGGCGTGGTGCCAGCACTGGCTTTGTTGGGGCTGGGGCTTTGCCCACCTCTGCACTGGCAGCCGCTTGCAGAGTGCCCTGAGGAACTCGGCGTGTGTTAGAGGCTTCTGGAAGCAGCCTTAAGTTTGAACAGCAATGCAAAGCTATCTCTTCTTGGTCAGTGGCATTTTTTGGAAATCAACCACTTAGTCTGAGGGAAAACAGTGATAGTTTTAATCAGAGGGATTAACTCCAAATCTCACCTGGGACTTTGCTTCTAATGACTCTGGCTTACGTTCTAAAAACAGCATGTGGCTGCCTTGTCACTTTTAGTTTGACTAATATTCATCTGCTTTGCACCCTGTCCAAAAACTTTCCTTGCAAACCATCTTAAAATAGAGTTCTTCAGCAGTGAAGCATATACTCTTTTGAAGACATCTGTAGAGGTGATCTGAAAAGGTGACTGTCAGAAACACTGAGCACAGAAAGGGCTTGAGGAGGGACGGGATTTTCTTGTGTTGCAATCCTGTTAGGAAATACAAGAGTAAAATAATTTGCAGTACATCTTATCTCACAGGCTGCATCTCTGGTTTGCTTGATAGCCCAGATAGAGAGGGATATAGAAAATAGCCGAGATAAATCATGAGTGAAGGTGCAAGGAGCTGACTTGGGTGAAGACAGGATGACAGTGAGGATGATGATGCCTGGGTTCACCCCTCTCTGAAACAGGGTGCTTTGCAGTCCCTGGGCAAAGGAAGCTGGAGATGGGGTGATTGTAGGGCAATGTGTCACCAAGCCTAGAGCAGCCCCTGGGGTTCCTGGGGGTCTGCAGTGGGTGAATGCATAGAAGGGCAGAGCTGTGTGTAATGTGGAATGGTTAATTCTGGCACTTTCCCCTTCTGTCCCAGTTTGATCCTGACAACACCGGCTACATCAGCACTGAGAAGTTTCGCTCCCTTCTCCAGAGACACGGCTCAGAGCTGGATCCCCACAAGCTGGAGGTCCTGCTGGCCCTGGCAGACAGCAACTCTGAGGGGAGGATCTGCTACCAGGACTTTGTCAACCTGGTGAGTGCTTTGGCTGACAGGGCTTGTGAGTCCTTGACTCTGCCTAAAACATTGGTTGCTGAGGGACAGTTTCCCTCCTAGAACACCACTGTTTGCTGTGTCCCTGCATCACACTCTGTTGGGTTTGCTGAAACATTCCATGGTGAGGGAACTCTCAAGCCAAGAGGCAAGTTGCTGCTGATTTTTTTCCAGGGAAACAAGTTTGCAAGCAGAGGTCTGTCAGTCTGGATGTCTCCTGATTTATCTAGAGATTTCTCCACTTCCAGACAAAAACATATAGATAACATTGTGCTGACTTTCTGAGTGCTGTCATATTGCAATGCTGTAGGCAGCAACAGAGATAAAGTGTTTCTAGGTCATGTTTGTTTTATCACAGGTGAGATGTCTCAGACTGCATGAGTCATGATTTGGATGCCTCTCTATCTCTACTAATGAGCCAATTAGTGAAGGGTTCTCTCTTATTAAGGCAGTTTGGTGACTCAACACAAATGTAGACATGTGTTGTTAGATGCCCAGGATGGCCTACAGATGTGTTTTGCAAGGTAAGTATATTGGACAATGTCCATTCCAGGGGCTTTACCCGGTTCTTACTCTGCTATTCCCCCCCTGAGTCTCAGCAGATTAGTGTAGCAGTAAGAGAAACCTGGGTGACAAAGTCAATGAGCAATGAAAGTCAGTGACATCTATAAGTTTTCGCTGGAAAGCTGGACATGTTTGTGATGCAGAGTGTAATAATTTGCATTTCTGTGTGCTCCTGCAGTCAATATGGGGATTTGATCCCTCCATTAATCACAGTCACTCATGTATCTCTTTTTAGTATAGAAAGAAAGTGTCTTCCACATGTCCTGTCTTCATATTAATCAGAAAAATATGATAATGGATCACAGCTGTCAAGGATCCAGGTCACCACCTCAGTCAGGCTGTGGTCTGTGCGAAGGTGAAATTACTATGATGCAATGATGTATCTAACCAAGCTGTCTTGTTAGCCCTTTGCATGTATTTAGGTACACAATAAAATAAATGTAGCAACTATGAAGCAGATCCCAGTGTGAGGTTTTCCTCAGCTCCAGCTGAATAAACAGTATGGTCAATGGCAGTGATCAGCAGTGTGTTTGTAGTAACAGCATCTTGTTCCACAGCTTTACATATTCAAAGTACCATGCAAGCATTCACTAGTTGAGCTGCACAACACTTAGGTAGCAGGAAGAGGTGTAATCTAATTTCTTTTACAGAAATTATGGCCTAAAGCCAGCCAACACTTTGGCAACAAGCTCAGGAGTAGAACTGAGCTTTTTCCTCTCTCCTTGTTCCACTAACCTCTGGAGCAACACAAGCTAATGAGAGGCAGATGGGAGGTGAAAGGTTTGGACATCCTTCTCCTTTGAGGAATGGGAGATCATGCCAGCTCACACCCACCTGATGTGATTTCTGCAAAATGCCAGATTTCCTTCACTGCTATTGAATGACTCCTGTAAAGAAACCATTGATTTTTCTGTCATCAGTACCTGTATCCTCATCTGCATTTTTTTGCCCTTATTAATCAATAGGCAATACAAATGCCAGACATTAAACTACTTACAAATGGCATCTCTCTTCTCAGTCCTCTAGTTGCTATTGATTTCCAACACCCAAACTTTTTAGGGCTCCATCTCTTTTCCATAGTTTCGTGCTCCCAAACCTGCCTTTTGAACTTCGTGATAGAGACAGGACAGTTGGCACAGGATCTGTGGTATTAGTGATTTCCTTCACTTTATATCTGTCAATCCTGGCAACTGTGTGTGGTGGTGTTTAAGTACATGTTTGTGCTTGATGATCATCAGCTATCTCTGCTTTTTGCTCAGAGTAATTTGTTTCAGTAGCTTAGCAAGAATTGATCTGCTCCCAAAAAAGGCACTGCTGGATGCCTGGGAAGGGAAAAGCTGACCTTTTAGTAGATCCACAGAGGTTTTAAAAGCATGGCACTTTGTGTGTGGTTTTCCTTTTCTACATCAATATTAATGAACAAATACTCTGACATAAACAGAGAATCTCATGGCCTCCCAAATGTGTCCAAGGTACTGAAACTTGGAGCAAGAGGTAAAATTGCATTAATAAAGCTCTGGCCAGTGGAGAGGCCTTGAGGAAAGGAGTGGGGCTGGGTTTCAAAGATGCATCATAGTGCAGCTATCAAAGCAGAGGTGTGGGAGGAAGGAGACTTCTCTGTGTATGTCACAAGCAGCTCTCTTGATGAACCCCTTTCTACTTTCTGTTAGCTCCCTATTCCCTCTTGCTCTAATTCCAGCCTGCTTTCCCATTGTTTGCCAAGGCTTCAAAGCCAGTTTCTTATATTTCTCTCAAGACTTTTTCCAATAATGCATGGCTGGAAGCCATCTCTTCTTATTGGGCACTTCAGTGATAAAAGCAAGGCTTGGTTGTGCCTCTTGTGGAGACACTGAGTGCCTGTAGGCTTTTCATGGGCTTACTGTCTGCTCTGAAGGGTGCATAACTCTTGCCTGTGCTGTTTCAGTGCTTGCAGTGGTAACGCTTTTGCTTGGGATACTTCCTCCAACCTGGCTTGAACTAAAATGAGGGGAAACAGTGAAAAAAGGGCTATAGCTAGGAAAAGATATTTTTTTTTTAATGAGAAAATACTGAATTTTGCATTTTGGCTTTGTGATGGTGTATGTGATGACAACACCAGGAGGGCTTTATTATGTTTGTGGAGGGGAGCTTTTAAGAACTTTCATACAGTATTCTTTCTGCCAGAGAAGGGAGAGATGAGAGCAATCCTTTATATGATGTTTTGCTTGGAGTTTTTTTAATAGTGCTTAGAAGTACTCTATAGCACAGCCATAAAGTAGCTATAAATTCTACTTCCAGTGTCTTTGCATGTCCTTTACTGAACCAGCTGACAGCCTGGATGGAATACTTAGATGAACAAGGCTTTACAAGAACTGTATATAATTCTTTATTACCTGAGTCACTGGGATGATAAGCAATGAAGCCTAAATCTTCAATTCTCAGGGGAATCCCCAGACAAGGCAAAAGTTTGTGCAAATTATTATCTTCTCTTCCTCCTGAATCCTTGTTCACTTTCTAGTGAGTGTTCTTACCTTAAAGGGCTATTGCAGAATAACCCAGGACTTCAGTTCCAGTGGTCTTGTCCAGTGTTTCTTGGTTTATTCTTACTGTTGCTAATCTGGAAAGGTTTGTTTCAGCAAAACTGCAGGTTTTATAGCTCTGTTTCTTCCCCTCTGTGCTTCCAATTAGCTGCAGTGTTGAACTAGGGCAGATCCACTGCCAAACATCTCCCATCTGGGGTCCTCTGGGATATCCTTCAATTTCCAACGGGATAGCCCTTTAAGTGCTCCCTCTGTACTCAATTCACTGTCTTGGCTGAAAGTATAGGATTCCTGAGCTCTCTTCCTGGCTGTCATTCAGAGGTATAATAATAAATATTTAATTACAAAAGGTTTGCAAATCTTACTTCGGTAGTTGATCTAATATTAGTCTGTTATGGGTAAGGAGGATCTGCTCCCAAGAGGTGGATGAGAGCAGTCACATGATTGTGTCCTCATTCATCTCCTACTTCTCAGTGTGTTGAAGCCCTTATTGAGGTGCAAAGTTCCCACTCCAGGGAGCATTTCCAGGAGCTGGATACCCTCCTGACAGATGTGCCTCACGCTGTCTTCATGTTGTTTTCTTTCCCGTTTTGGAGGAAACTGGGGGTTTTTGGTATTTCAAGAGCCAAGTGCATCTCCTGGTGGGGGGAAGTCATCTGTGGACCAGGTAAGAGTCCTGAAACTGAAAACAGGGGTGCAAGAGCTGCTTTTGGAGTGTGTTCAGATTGTACATTGATCTGACTCCATTAGATACTGGCTAAATGTAGCAGCAGAGAAAACTCTCTTCCAAGTGAACTAGTCTGGCAGATGAGCATTATGCCAATTAAAGTGGAACTTAGCATAGGAATTTACATCCTTAACCATGATTCCTCAGCTGTTTCCAGTTGTGTGCAGTTGAAACTTGAGAAGCACAGTGTCAACGTAGATGGTCATTTTAACTGTGTATGTATCTAAAACACATGTGTGAGTGGAAAATGTCATCAAGATTTTATTTTTTTTTTTTAATTTGGTTAAAAAAAAATAATCTGGATTCATTTAGGTTGTGGAATCTTTACCTGTACCAATTAAAAATTGAGCAGGTGTTGGGGGGGATTGAAGTTTCAGATTTGCTGTATTTTGACACAATGTTATTTGAACCAGAATGTTAGTCTTGTCCTGCAAGCAGTGCTCTTTCAATTGACTTTGGAAGCTGAAGGTGGTTTACCTTTTCTAATGGAAGTGCTGGAAGCCTGGCACATTTTGTTGGAGTCCAGACAAAACATTGAGCAGGGAATACCTGCAATGACCAGGATAATTTATTTGGTCTCTCCAGTCTCTAACTTTTCTTGAATCCTCAGAGTAAAACATTGCGTGATGAGAGCAAATCAGATGTTAGTACCTGTTTTTTTTTCCCACTTGGTGCTGTCTGGAGAAGTGCTACCAGGTTGGCTCAGAGGATGTGAACATCTGTGACAGATGAACTTTGCGCTGAGCTGTGTGTTTTGGGAGAAGCAGTCTGTACCCACATTAGCATTTGGTAGAAGTGCAGACTGAGGGAAGGAAATAAATGTGAGTCTTGAAAGCAAAATTGATTGGAAAGGCTGCATTTATAAGTAAAGTGGGTTATAAAAATGGAGCTGACAGAGGTTTTTAAAAAGCTTTTGCTAGCTTCTGAGTTAGTGTTCTGTGTCTTGGAGGATTGGAGCTGGAGAGCTGAATGCAGGGCTTGTCACAGTGTTGTACATGTTTAAAAATAGCTGTAGACCAGCCTCAAAGATGCCAATACGTAATGGGCAGGAATCCATGTTTTTCAAAACCTCCTGAGTGAGGCTGAATAAAATCCACAGAAAGGGTACTGTGGCCCACCCAGGCCATGAAACTGGATCTGGGGAAATGCTACCTAACTTGGCTATTGATTATCCGGGGCAGCAGTAGTACAGATAGCCAAGAAACCCAGAGAAATTGGCCTTCCATTGTAAGCTGCAGATTGTCTGAGGCTGGTTCTCGACTGACAAGTGTCCTGAACAAAAGCAGGGCTTTGTGCTTGACCAAACTTTGACACTGTCCTACACTAGATAGTAAAGACTCTCAGCTTAAATTTTTAATGTTGAAGACGGGATCAGATCTAAGCAGGAAAAAGTTTTACTATCTGGCAGATGTATCAAGCTATCCTTTGAGCAGAGCTGCAGCGTTAAGCCTTGTTTTCTTTTGGTCTGGTAATAGCAAAGGGCAGAGGTGGCAGAGTGTGGTTACCTGTTATGTCAGCTTGGCTGGTTTGCAAGGGAAATTTATTTCTCTCTGCATAACTCTAGTGTATCACCTTGGGCAAGTCTTACTGTTGTGAGGTCCTGCTTTCCACTTCCCCAGTAGAGCCAGATGCTTTGTACATCTGAGGTGCAACTTCTACAGTGATGCTGCAATATCCTGCTCTTATAACTAAGAACACCTTCTCCTTCTGCTTCATTGTCAGTAGGTTGAGGAACACCTTCAGAAACATCATGTTGATGAATTTGCGCTGTTATTTGAGCTCTTTGGGCAGCATTAGCAGTAATGCAGAGCAGGACACTGGGGTGCCAGGGCTGTGCTGAGTTCAGGCAGTTGAACTGAGCCAAGTCCCTCTCTGCCATGCTTAGCTGCAGCGGGCGGGCTCCACGGTGCCTGCATCACGATCCTCTGCTGAACAAACACCAGGAAATTTCTGTTATGAGCCCAGTACAGACAGAATGTCAGCAGCCTTTGGAGTTTCCTGCCCATCTCTTTCACCAGACTCTGCAGTGATGAAGTGATCAACTGCTGAGAGTAGTCAGCATTTCTTGATGCTGAATTGCAATGATGATTTATTTTCTTTGGTTGGTTCTGGAAACGATTTATATTTCCCAGTGAAGTGCTGCAGCAGGGAAAGCACTGACCGGTTTGTGGTGGGCAGGAAAATCACACAGGTCACTGCAATTAGAACAAGCATTCCAGCAGCTTCAGACTGCTGCCCAGTATCTTCATCTGTAGCAGGCAATTTATAGTTTCAGTCTGAGTTTGTTCTTGTCCACAAGAGGAGTGAAGTCTGAAAGAACAGAATGAACTCTGCGTGGGAGCATGCACAGTACATCTGAGAGGCTGTTCTGAATTAACCTGGGACGAAACTTTCTCTGCAAACACAGTGAGGTCATTAGGTGGCTAAAAGTACCTTTTGAAGCAGAGGTATGTCTGTCATCTACCAAGAAGCATCTCACAAATGCTAAGGAAAGCCTTGCACCTGGTGGATATTTGTGTGTGAAAGTACTGTCTTTCAATATGAGCAGGCTTTCTTAATGCAGTAGAAGATCAACAACAATTTGTTCCCTGGATCTTCCTTAGTTTTAGATAGAAAGTTTTGGATTATAGACTTGAAGAGTGAAAAGGAAGATTTTTGTTGACAGATTTTCTTTTTTTTCCTGTTTCTGCTGCTTTTGCCAGAATTTTCTCTTACAAGTGTTTTATGAATGAGCAAAGGAGTGAGCAAAGTAGAAATACCAAGAAAGGAGGAGATTTTAGTGTAGACCTTTTTGTTACTAAAACAACTCAAAAAGAAGAAGAACAATAGAATTTTCCCCAGTTGTAGAGAACATTAAATTGATCAATTGTCTGGGGATGTTGTTCACATCAGTGAATTTCTACATTGGAGTAGAAGGGTTAGGAGAGATGGGCAGCTGCTGGGAGAATGGGTCACAGTGGCATCACCTCAGATGGCCCCTTTGCATTCCTCCAGTGATTAACAGGAGGTGGCTCCCTGCAGTGATTACTGTGTTTTAAGCAGCTTGGTCCAGCTTGAAACAATTACACAGCTGCCTGGGCACTGAGAGCAGAAGCTCTGGGCTTTGCTGCCTTTGGGACATTAGCCAAAACCAGTGGAATCCAAGACAACTGGAAGCTAACACTGTTGGACATCATCTCTTATTTGTTTCTGGGAGACTGAAGATTCTGGTAGCTTCTGAGATCAGTTAGCAGTTCTTTCAGAAGAAGGTCCAGGCTGTCACATTTGCTTTCCTGTCTCTTATGTAAAAGATCCCTTTACAGTGGTTTTTATGCATAACTTTTATGCATAATTTTCAACCTTTCTGCCAAAGATTCAGCCAGTACAGACAGTGACTCTAATGCAGCAGGTTTGTTTGACATCAGGGCTAATTAGCAATTATCCGAATCTTGGAGCAAGCTCTTTCAGACCTGTTGTTTTTCTGGTGTGTTGTGGGGGTTTTTTTCAGGGTTTTTTTGGGGTTTTTTTCCCTCTAAGCAAGCTAGGCATAAAATTCCATCTGCCTAATTTTCAAATGCAATTGCTTTAATTATGCATCCAAATTGGGAAAGTGCATACTCAAAAGATAGATTGCTAATTCTATGCATGTAAGATGATAATGAGTATACAAATTAGTTGTATCCTCCAAAGCCTGCACCACCTCAAAACCTACCCTCTCTGAGGATAACTGTTTTAAAAGAAGAAATCCTTTCCTCTTGCAAATATACAGCAGCTGAGATGGTCTGTACACCAGTGTGGTCTGTTGTTTTGTTGCTGTTGCTCATACAGGTTTTTTTACACAAAGGGATAATTTTCTTTGCCCAGAGTTAACTCCAGCCAACAAGGGCCAGAGCACAGAGGTGTGTAAATGTACCTGCTGCTGTGTGGCAGGTGCAGGGAAGTGTGATAGGGCAGGGGAGCTGGGGAAAGGAGGACACAGGAGTGTGTACTGTGGTAACTGATGGTGAAGACAGTGGATGGAAGGCTGGAGAATGGGCCAGAGAGCTCAGCCAGGTGCACCAGCAGTCTCTGCTCTGCCTTCCCGTTGTTCTGCCCTGACCTTATTTTTTGGCTTTGGAATAGCAAACCCTGCTACTGGTTTTCTTCACACCCCATGTAGGTCACCCCATGATCATCCTGAGACTTGGTTCCTAAAGCCCCACCCTGATGGTTGCTCTCCTGCCTGCTCAGATCTGGTGCTGACCGACTGGCATTGATGTCCCCGATGGTTGTGCCAGGCCTTGCTTTATCCTCATGGTTTCTCCCTTTCCTTTTTCCCCAGATGAGCAACAAAAGGTCAAATAGTTTCCGCCAGGCCATCCTCCAGGGGAACAGGAGGCTGTGCAGCAAGGCCCTGCTGGAGGAGACAGGGCTGAGCCTTTCGCAGAGGCTGATCCGGCACGTGGCGTATGAAACCCTGCCCCGGGAGATCGACCGCAAGTGGTACTATGACAGCTACACCTGCTGCCCTCCCCCCTGGTTCATGATTACCGTCACTATTGTAGAGGCAAGTATCTTAATTCCCTGTCTCTGGAAACCCATGGCACACTGCCAGAGGCTTTGCTTGGGTATGATCAAGGACTCATTTACACCCAGGCAAGGACAGGCACAAAGCTGAAAGCCATTCTATCCTATCTCCAAGTGTGGTTATTATCCATTGAAACAATTTGTATATAAAACTACAGAATTTGGGAGACTACAGCAAAACTAACCCAGGTATCTCCATGCTCTTCTAGGTTGCATTTTTTCTTTACAATGGGGTGGTACTGGACAGATTTGTGCTTCAAGTCACCCATCCCTTATACCTGAAGAACGCACTGCTTTACCATCCCCAGCTCCGTGCTCAGGCTTGGAGGTACCTAACCTACATATTCATGCATGCAGGGTGAGTATTTACAAACTATGGAGACTCTACACAGTTCAGGTTCTCAAGAGAGAGGGAGGAGGATGAGGAAGTGACAGAATAATCTCAGAAATAATTTTTAAAAAATCAATTCTAAATTGCATATAAACATCTGCATCTGCTGTGTAGTGCTGGGCAACAAGGAGCAAACCTTCATAGCTTTTTGAAGGGAGGAGGCAATGAATCCTTCATTGTATGGGAGGTATGTAGCAGACCTGGGAAAAGAAGACAAGACATGGGGATTCTAATGCTGTGCCTCTTGACTCTGCTAGTCCTCCCAAGATTCAAAAAAGACTTAACCGTGTAATGTTTGTGATGCCATGGTGATGAGTGAGTGTCACAGGAAAGTTCATCCCTGTACAAGACACTGTGCCCCTTCTGAGTAGCTTCTCAGATCATTATCTTCACACATTCCTGGCAGTATAATTGCAATTTTCTTGAATTCTGTCATTGAAAAATCATAGCAACAAGCTTTTTAGCAGCAGTTTATAGTTTAAAACTTGATAAAGACCCTTTGTTCTTAAATAGAAAGCCTATATTCCCATCAGTCCATATTCTCTTATGAAAGGCCAGAAAGATCAAGCTGATCTTTTTCCATGTCTCTGATGGAAGACATGCTGATGTCCCTTCTCTGCCATGGAATAATTGCCTCAGTGTGTAATTGCTTTTCAGCACAAGATGTGCCCCAGATCTCTGGATGAAAATCATAGGACAGAACAGACTCCACCCAAAGGGAGAGTAGGAACAAATTTGTAAATTAAACTTTTGGACGTGGCAACATCTGTATTCTGCATGCTGAATTCCTCCAAAAAGTCCATTGTATACTGGTTTCAATCTGCAAATGGAGACTATTGTGCTTTGACATGAGACTGGTTATGTAAAACCAGAACTGAAAGTTTCCATTGATGATGATATGGGGAAAACTGGGCTTGTAAAAGGAAGAAACACATGATTTTAACTAATGTCAGCTAAGCTGTGCCTGGATTTTCCTCTGGTGGTGCTCTACTATATCACTTAGATAACTGCAGATTGCTTTGGGATACATTTGAAGGGAAGCATGTGCACAAGGGCAATTTGTGCAGCATTTACATGTCTTGTATCACCTGTGGCACACCTCCCTGACCTGTGCCACGTCAGCCTTTCCTGTAGCAAGCAGTGCTCTGGCATTCTTCTTTCCTACTGACTGAAAAATACTTTGGGTTTATTTCATGTCTGTGGCTGCCTCAGAGATGAACAGTGCGGAAGATGGTGTGCAGGAGACTCATTGTTTTTGTGATGGATTCCAGGTTCTTTAGCTACACAGCTTTCCAAACAATGAAGAGTCCTGCTGGAACAATAAACCCCATGATTTATCTGCAGGAGCTGGAGTTAAGCTACATGTTCATTTATTGCTAACTTCTCTCTGTTAAGGTCCTTTCATATGAGGAGAACAGATAAATCTTGAAAAGGTAATAACATTTGTTAGTGGAAGCCCATCATTCTCCTCTCATTTACAAATGAGAAGCTAACACAATGCCACAGGGTCTCTTGTTATACTGCTTCCAGCTGAGACTTTAAGATGGTAATGTGGACTGCTCCCTAATTTAGTGCATTCGGTCTGTGGCTTTGAAGAGCAAGTGACAGCCATAAGGTGTCCGAAAAGACAGCAGTTGCTAATACTTGCCTGGCTGTGTCTCCAGAAAGATTAAAAAAATGCATAGGCTGGGATGGAGGGAGCTTTGTTAAGGGCTGAAAAGGCAGGCAAAGTTGTAAATTCTGCCCTTCTGCTTTCACGGAAAGCAGACGTTGAGTATCTGGGGCCCATGCATTTGTAATACTGCCATAGCTAATGACTTGCATTGATGCTCCCATTTGTTTGGTCCTGGGGAAGGAGAAAGTCTTTAATAAATCAATGAAATTGTCATTTTGAGAATGACACATTCAGCACTGGCAAAGACTAATTATATTTTATGGGTGCTTACTGACTGTGATGTCTCCAAAGCTTCGTACCATGATGGGGAGGAGAAATGAATAGAATTACTCCTTCAAAGTCTTTTAAGAACAGCCGTGAATCAGAGCAGTCACTTTTAAGATAAACTTTGCTGAACTTCACAAAAACTTCCTTTGAAAAATAAGACCCAGTGCTTTGTGTGAAAAAGTCAGGTGCTGCCTCATGATGTTGACTGTGTGCCAGCCAAAGCTTCTTCCTTCCCTTCTGTGTAAGGGTTCTTGGATGCTTTGACTTTTTCCTGTGATCTCGGCTTGACCTTTGCTGGTTAGTTCTAATCTAGTTCCTAAGTTCTCTGAACATGCAGGGTCAGAGTGCATGCCAGAATATGTCTGTGCCCATGGGCTTCAAAATTCCTGAACAAGGTAATAAAAACACTCAGTTACACACAGCAGTTTCCCATGATGACAGATTGAGGTGCTGAGTGTCTTCTCGGGAGAGAAATTTATCCTTGGAGAGAAATTCAGTGGAACAACCATTATTAAGATATCCAGAAAGCACTGTTGCCTGCAGTATCATTTCTAGCAGTTTTTTGCAGTCCGAGTTTACATTCTCATTTCTGAGACTGCTCTGTCATTACTGCCTCTCACCACCTGTATTTTCTCTGATATGTATAAAGAATTGCTATGGTAACATGAAGAAAGACCAAGACTGTGAGAATGGATATACCTTAAACCAAAGATTGCTAGTGGCTGTCTGAGCAATCCACTGCTTGCACAAAATAGGGTGTGGATTTTCAACTCATTAGCTGTTTTGTGCTCTCCCCAAAAAGATGCTCATCTTCTGTGTTAAGAGTCACACTGTGTCATTTAGCTCCACTTGCCTTGCAAGCAAGACTCAGACACCCTTCACACAGGAATCAGAAAACTCCGGGGCCAAGTGTTTTGTGATCCCTGTCACAGCCCTGGGAGCCCTGTTCAGGAGAACCCTGTTCAGGGTCCTGGTGCTGTTGTTAACTCACTGGAGGATCCTGCAGATGGCCAAGGCATAGGTAAATATTTGTATAGAGTTTTGAAAAGTTACAAGCCAGTTTTCTTAAGTACTATTGATTAGAGCAAGAAAAGACTTGTTTGGAAACTATTGATTCAGTGCAGGAGAAAACTACTGCACTGGAGTCTTTGTCAAATATGCTATATCAAATATCTTAGCTGTCACACCCTCTGCCTCTAGGCTGCCAGTGGGTCCTGCACTTGCTGATGTGCACAGCAGCGTTTTCTACAAGACTGCTCTCAGCTC